ACCCTAAACCCCAAACCCTATCTTTGGGGTCTGGACCAGGCTTTTGGGTGGCTAGCCCAAAGCCCGACACCCCGAACCCTGGGGTTTAGGGTTTAGGGTTTAGGCGGTTTAGGGTTTAGGGTTTAGAATGACAGCAAGCAACCTCGGGGTTTACGGCAGGCAGGACCCATCCCGCATTCAGCACCTTTTCCTGGCTATGTCGGTGCCACTGCAGAGCTGGATATTCATGGAATTTACTCTCAGCTTTGAAAGCTCTTGGAAGGATTATGATGACAGTGGGTTTGTGACGATGATCAACATGATGAACATGATGATGATGATGATGATGATGATGATGATGATGATGACGATGACGATGATGACGATGACGATGACGATGATGATGATGATGATGATGACGATGACGATGATGATGATGAGGAGGATGCTGACGACGACGATAGAGATAGTGAGCAAACTTTCACGAAAGGTGCTCCAGCACCGTGCAAAATGGGAAATGTGAACGATAGCCTAGAAGCAATACCGACCAAGACACGAACTAGCAAGTGATCGCGCTTAGCATCAGGGCCAGGGTCATGCACTAGCGCACAAGTACAAACAACTTCCATGGAGACCCGCAGACGTCGCACTCGCACGGAGAGGGTGTAAGTGAGGATTGAACTGCCGAATTAGATTCCCTGACACCATGATTAGGATGGTCTTCTGAAAATAGACCCTTTGGGCAAGGCTCGATGATCTTGTCCAGGTTCATGCGGACATACATGTCGATCACGTCACAGTCGATGAGCGGATCTCCGGAGGCGACACGGCGGTCCTTGATGCGCACGCCACCCACGTCATGAAGCTCCATATCTTCCCAAAGAGAAAGGTAGTCGAGAGCTGATGTTCACTGGGAATCCCCTTGAGCCGAAGCAAATGCTCACAGAGCCGGAGGATGCTTGCAAGCAGCTACCGTTGCGGGGCAAGCGCTGGGAAAGACAAATCTGAAATACCAGCGCTGGCAGCGACGATCGTGACAGTGAGGACATGCTGATAGCCTTTATGTCGAAAAGTATGGCTACGATGACGACGCCGGCAACTGCTACCCGCTATCGCCTAACACTACAGCCACGTCTACCGCTACGGCCGTCGCCACTGCCTAAACCCTAAACCCTGAAAGCCTTAGCCCACTCGCACCAGCTTTCGACATCGGAAACGATAAGCCTGGCACGGTCTTCTGCGAAGGTTGCCTGACTTTCAGGCTACCGGCCTGATCCAACAGCTGTGCGAATGAACCCTAAAGCCGACTCTTGGCCTATTCCCAACACCATAAGCTTTTTGAGCCTAAACCTGCCTCTACCCTGGGCAGACATGTAACTGTACGTTTATTATGTATGTATGCATGTATGCATGTATGCATGCATGAATGCACGTGTCTATGCATGTGTGTGGATACTGTTGTATGGGTAGGCATATGTATATTTATCTGTAGGTGTGTATGTGTATGTAAAGGTACATGTATATCCATATGCATATGCATATGCGTATCCATCTGTATATACACACATCTACAGTACACCTATAGTACCTATCGATAGGCAGGTAGATAGAAAAATCGACAAACAGAGAGGTACATAGATAGGTAGATAGATAAACAGATAGATAGATAGATAGATAGATGGATAGATAGGTAGCTAGATAGCTAGATGGCTAGATAGCTGGATAGCTAGATAGATAGATAGATAGGTAGGTAGGTAGGTAGGTAGGTAGGTAGGTAGGTAGGTAGGTAGGCAGGTAGGTAGCTAGATAAATCGATAGGTAGGTAGATAGACAGATCGATAGACTGATAGACAAGAAGATACGTTTGATGCCAAACCCTAAACCCTAAACCCTAAACCCTAAACCCCTAAACCCTAAAGCCTAAACCCTAAACCCTAAACAGCCGGCTTTCGGTAAGGCGGCTCAGTCTCTCAGCCTGCGATCTGCGGCGCCCGGCCAAGCTTACTTTGGCTCGAGCTCCTCCTTGCCGGTGCAGACTTCAGGTTTTAGGGTTTAGGGTTTTGGGGTTTAGGGCTTAGGGTTTAGGGTTTTTAGGCTTCAGGGTCAAGGTTTAGGATTTGGGTCTAGGGTCTAGGGTTTTGGTTGTTCGGCCTTGGGGTTTAAGGTTTAGGGTAAGGGCTTCGGATGTGGGGTTTTGGGTTGTAATGTCAAGCTTCCATCTTCGCTGCGGTCATCGTAAGACGGTGCTGTGAGGATGTAGGACTGCAGCTTTGTTAGGCGTCGGGTTCCAGAAAAGAATCAACCGGTTGAACCCAAACCCCTAAAGACCGAAGCGTCCTAAGAACCCTTGTACTAAAACCCTAAACCCTAAACCCCACCGCCAGAACCCTTGTTCTAAACAGCAACGGATAAAGCCCTAAAGCCCCAAAAACCCTAAACCCTAAACCCTAAACCCCAAACCCTACGCAGTGAAAGCCAGAAACCTCGGTTCAAATCTCTGCCGCGCGGGAGACTGCAGCGGAAGTGGATGTCTAGGAAGGATTTAGAGGTTTTAGGGTTTAGGGTTTTTTGGTTTAGGGTATAGGGTATAGGGTTTAGGGTTTAGGGTTTTTTGGTTTAGGGTAATAGGGTATATAGGGTTTAGGGTGGCTTTAAGGCTGGAGATTCCCGATTTGGGGGGCTCTGCATTTAGAATGATTTAGGGTTTAGGGTTTAGGGTTTAGGGTTTAGGGTTTAGGGTTTAGGGTTTAGGGTTTAGGGTTTAGGGTTTAGGGTTTAGGGTTTAGGGCAACTTGAAGCCCGAATTAAGGTAAACCCCAAAGAGTTGGAAACCGCCTGAAGGACAGTGAGTGCTCTGGGATTCCCTATACATCTGGGTGGTTGTCAAAATTAGGGTCCAATTTTGGGTCCTTATTATAATACGGCACCTATTATTTAGGGTACCCCAAAAGGGACCCTAATTTTGACAACTACCCATCTATCTTAAGGGTTGAGGCGAGTAGGTTTCCAGCTTTTGGGGCTTCTACTGTATGATCCTGAAGCCTTAACGCAACAATCCTAAACCCTGAGCCCTAAACCCTAAACCCTAAACCCCTAAACCCTAAACCCTAAACCCAAAAGCCCTAAACCCCGAGATCCGGAAAAAGCTGTCCGTCCCAAAGTGGCCTAGCCAAACCCCAAAACCGGGACCGGAACTCATCCTTGAAGTGCAGTTGATGATATAAATCCTGCATTATGACCCTAAACTCTGGGAATTATGGTATATTCCTTATTATGGCCAATGCAGGATTTATATCATCAACCGTACGGCTCACTTCTGAACTCAATCAGGGGTTTAGGGCGCAGGTTCAGGGGTTCGGGCCAGGTTTAGGGTTTAGAGATTAGGATTTCGGGCTTCGGGTTTAGGGCTTAGGGTTATGTAGGGTTTGGGGTTGTGGGCTTTGGGCATGGGGAACTCCAAAAAAAAGCAGCCAACGCTCGTCCTTCAGCGTCGGCGAAATCTTCTCCTCAACGAAGGGGATAGGGTCGAAGGTTAGGGGTTTGGGGTTTAGGGCTAAGGGTTTAAGGTTTAGGGTTTAGGGCTTAGGGTTTAGGGTTTAGGTTTAGGGTTTAGGGTTCAAGGTTTAAGTTTAGGGCTGAGGCCTGGGGATTCAAAAATGTTGGGCTCGGGAGCTTAGGGTCCAGAGTTGAGTGAGTCATACTGTTGATGATATAAATCCTGCACTACCTTAAGGACCCTAAACGATGGGAATTATGGCATATCGCTTATTATGGCTAATGCAGGATTTATATCAGCAACAGTAATACTAGGCTTCCCGGTTGCACGGTTTGGGGTTCAGGGTTCAGGGATTAGTGTCTAGGGTAACCGACAAGCTATACTTTGCCAGGGAGTCCATCCGCATGAAACTTCAAAACCAAAAACCCAATGGACCATGGATGTTACTCATGCCTATACCGTAGGTTATGTATCATGGACTGCTCAACGCAGGAAGACGATGCCCAAGACCCAGGTATGCTTGGCTTTCTTTCAGAGATAGGGTTTAGGCTTTAGGGTGTGGGGTTCACGGTGTGGGTCTAGGGTCCCAGGGTGGGACTGTTTAGGGTTTAGGGTTTAGGGTTTAGGGTTTAGGGGTTTAGGGTTTAGGGTTTAGGGTTTAGGGTTTAGGAACTGCTCCTTGCTTTGTAAGGGTGGGCATTCCCCGTTGCACGGCTGAAGTCTTCTTCCCAAGCTGTCCTGCCACGAACTTCCCAACCTCAGAACCCAACCCCAAACAAGCTCTTAAGGCCAACTAGCACAGAACCCGAAGCCCCTAGCTAATTCCCAACAAAGAAATAAGGACAACAAGTAGCAAAAGCATCCCCTATTCACCCCATCCGTGTGGCCTCGCAGAGGCAGCGAAAGGTCCAAGTGTGCCCCAGCCTATCCGCAGGACCATGATGTCAGTCAGGTGATAGGATTTGGGGCTTGGGGTTGTGCTGCTTTGTGAGAGGCTTCTAGAAATTGGGAGGCCTATATGGGGGTTTCCAAAAATAGGGGACCCTAATATAGTACCCTAATTAATAGGATGCCTATTATAAGGAGCCCAAAATAAGGTCCCCTAATTTTCGGAAACTCCCATATGAAGGAAAACCATGCCGGGGACGGGCCAGGCTTTACGGGCCACCATGTCCGAGAAGCCTTGCCGCGTGGACAGGTTTTCGTCGTCTGAGACTGAAGGGTTTAGGCCTAAACCCTAAACCCTAAACCCTAAACCCTAAACCCTAAACCCTAAACCCTAGTTTAGGTTTAAGGTTTGGGGGTTTGTTGCTGGAATACCTCGCAGGTTCCGAGTCCCTGCGGATTTCAATACTCAGAGTTCGTAGCAGAGAGATGCTTCAGCCTTCACCCTCGTGCTGGCAGGTTTCCCCAAGCTCTTCCAACATCTGAAGCCACGGACTCATAAGGCAAGTGTTTCTGTGTGAGAAGCAGCAGTAGCACTGTAGCATTCGGAAGGGCCTTCCGCTGGTGCCTCTGCCTTTTTTGGGCCAGTGTGCACACTTGCGAAAGGGCCCAAACCCGAAACCCGAAAGGCCTGCATCGGCACCCTTAAAGGATCCTCACTGACAAGGTGAGCTTCAGCGCCTCTGCCTGGCATTATGTCCTTGAGAACTGTAGGAATCGAGGCCGCAAGAGGCTTGGCAGGCGGATGAGGAAATTTCAGGCGAGAAGGCTTGGGAGAAGTCATCGATTCATCCTCGGCTTCTGCGGAATCATTCCGAGATCATCCACGAAGCATCAAACCTCAAGATCATCACGCTTATCATCATCATCACCATCATCAGCAGCATCATCATGACCACCACCATCATCTTTGCCGAATCGCCGTCAAGATTCGCGGTTTGGTTCTGAGTTTTTGCGTTTGGGGTTTGGGAGTTAAGGATTTAAGGTTCAGAGCATGAACCAGAGAGCCAAACACCCCGAAATGAAGGAAAATACCTCAAGTTGTACGGGCTCTCTGGGTACCCTGAACAATAACGGCCTACGTGGACTCACCGGTTCTGTCTACTACTATCACATCCCGCTGCTGCACATGATTCTGGCTGCTGCCGCCAACTTACAATGCTTAACCATTTGGTGTTCTATGGACAGCTCTTGAAAGTCCACTCCCTGGTTCTTGGTAGGGAATGCGGGACTAGATCCCTACGCTAGTTCTTTCAGGACCCTTATAGTAGTCCCTATAACCCTAAACCCTCATTACCCGAAAACGCTAAACCCGAATAGTAGTCCCTATAGCCAATTCCGACTGCAGGCAGGCCTCGGCGTCGAACACGGATGGTCTTCGGGTAGGAAGAGTCCCTGCACGCGCTTTTTGGCTTAGGGTTTAGGGCTGGGGTGTAGGGTTTAGGGGAGGCTGAAACTAGCTGAGATGAGAAGGGTACAGAGTGTAGGGCATAGTATACATAGCATAAACAAGGCGGGATAGGATGAGATGCGATGCAGTCCGATGCGGTAGGATGCGATGGCATGAGATGAAGTGAGATGAGGTGGGATGGCATACAACACTGGATGCCATGGGATGAGCACCCGCTTGTCGAGGGGGTATTCGGCACATCTTGCAGTATAGCGTTGGGCCATATCAGCTTGTGGGTAGAAGCATTTTCGGACTTCGACTTCAGAACCATAACTCTAACTGACGGCTTGGGGGGTTATGCCGGGGTTAGGGCTGGAAATAACTTCAGGAAGCGTGCAAAGACTTGGAATCCCAGGTAGAAATGCCGAGGAACATGTTGTGTTTAGATATATTTGTATCTTGGGTCGTTGTCCAGATGAGCAAACCGTATGTTCAGACGCAACTGGGGCTGCCAGACTTGGATTTCGACGATCCCGATGCAACTGGATGCGGAAGACGTTCTCAGCAGTTAGGGTTTGGGGCTTGGGGCTTCGAGTTTGGATGCTTCGGCCTGTGGAACAGGACGTTCCTCATGAGATTCAGCTGTCGCGTCATTCTGGCTCGAGATCGGCGGCCGTCATAGACAGTGTCCAATATGCTCTCGCAGTCGGGATCGAGCACCTTCACCTAAGTTCATATCGCAATAGAGGTGCCACTGACCAGAGTGGGGGTGAAAGGATTTGTCATCTAAACCCTAAACCCTAAACCCTCCACCCGAAACCTTAAACCAGAAACCCCTCAAGCCGGAAAACCACACTGTTGACATTGACAGGCAATGTCCACTATACTTCGCCGAACACAACAACAGCGCGCTATGAGGCGTGTCTTCAACTCAATGTCTACGAGTCTACCCTACCGCAGCAGCACCAAAATCTATAATGATGGAAGAGGCATCCTGCATAATGCCGCCTACTATGCCCGATACTAATTCAGCTCAACATGGTGAAATAAAGGATACTGTAGCTGATCGCACTACTAACTACTGTCGCACAGTGACAGTATACAATATGCAGTGAAACCAGCAAATATGAAAGCTTCAAGATGAAAGAGTGCATTGTGACATGATGTCGCACACAGCTGCATTGAGGAGCAGTGCACTTGCCCCCGCCCTCCCCCCTCCCTTTACCTAAACCCTAAACCCCACACCCTAAACCCCTAAACCCCTAAACCCTAAACCGCTTCTTGCGGCTATGTCGCCTTGCAGCAGACCTTGATGTCATCCCTTGTGGCCTCTGCAAAGCTCTTGAGGACCTGCAGACGCCTGCAGCATCAAGGGAGTCGGAGGCCCTGGGAGAGCTCAGAGGCTTCTAGAGATGCGACTTTTCTAATATAGGGGCCTTCATAATTAGAATAGGGTTCCGTTAAAAGGGATCCTTAAAAGGGATACTATAAGGGTTACTATGAGGATTCTATAATCTAGGGGCCTTAATAGTTAGAATAGGGTTGTGGGGCCCATTATACTATAATTATAGTAAGGAAGCCCCAAAATAATGTAGGTAATTCTTAAGGCCCCTACATTTTGTGGCATGCGACACCAATACTTTCTCGCGATAGGAGTTTGGAACATTGCAGGTCTCTTTGTGCCGTAACAGCACTGGCCGCCCAGATTTCAGGGTTCTTTTTTTATCACCTCTTTTCCTTCGCCTGACAAGGAGTCCGGAATACCATGTTGGTTGAGGCATGGATTTAGAGTTTAGGGTTGACGGCTTCGGGCCGCCTGTTGTTGAACGACGCTATCCCGACGCTCGTCTCCACGCATTCCAGCCGGAGGAATCGCTGAGTCGGCAGGCAGTGTCCTGGATTTACGCAGGCCGTCGGGTTTAGGGTTTAGGGTTTAGGGTACTAAGCTCTAAAGTGTCGAGGTCTAAGACTTTTGGCGCAGGGTTGGCGGGCTTTCGGGACCATCGGCAAACACATGAAGTCGCTGCATGGCTGCGACGGAGGCAAGCCTGGAAAGAACAGAAAGACAGAAAGCTCATGTCAGTGTAGACATCAACAATATAGCCACAATAAAAACCAGTATTAACAACTAACAACTCCGCAAGGACGGGTCCGTTCCTGCCAAAAGCCTGTCCAAGAGATGTTGCGTCGGCGTGCCGTCCGAGAAGTGGTCCGAGCAGCTGTCCTGGGTTCAGGGTTTAGGCTTTGGGGTTTAGGGTTGAGGGTTCAGGGTTTGGGGTTTAGGGTTAGGGTTTAGGCTTTGCGGTTTGGAGTTTAGGGGCAAATGCAGGGTGTAGGCATGTGTAGGCTGTAGGTTTAGGATCTTGGGCCGAAGCAGCATGGGACATGAGTGCATCAGAAACATGAAGCAGATGGTGTCGGGAATTGGACAAACTCTTCCTCGACCCGAAACTCTAGACCGCTGAACCTTCAGCTCTAAAACCGTATAAGACGTGTTTGCTGAGAACCTGGCGACACGAAACCTGTGTCCCTTCAACCTCGAACTAACCACGGGGTCTGGGCTTTCGCTGCCACATACGGTAGAAGCCAGAAAGTTGCAACATCCTTACTTGGAGGATCATTCGACTCCTTGGAGGATCATGGGACTTAGCA